TAAGTACTTAGAGGTACCTAGTGCCTTGTACTATCAATCATATCATTGACGCGGAAGCTGTATATGCGCCTCTCAGATTGAGTGAGTGCCATGTTTTCCATCTTCTTCTTTTTCTTCTTCCTCGAATGGCGCTTACGTTGTAAATGCATCCTCCTCTATGTTTGATGTTGCTACCTAGGCACAGTAACGTGCGGCCCACCTCCCAGCTCTCTTTTCTTGGTTGTGATTAATGATACCTTCTTAGGCACCTACCTGGGCAGAGATTGGTATGGGGTCAATAGTAGTACCAGACCACTTGTCTTGACAACAGCAGTTGGCCACTTGGCCCCTGGACAAATGCAGCGTGCCACCGCCTCTTTCTTGTACAGAGTATTGTACATAAATGAGACCCCGAGACCTGGTTGAATGTGATGTGATGTCAACGGCATCAGTCCGAGATGTACCCGCAAATGGCCTTGGACATTGAGACCAGACCAGCCACCTAACGCTGCAAGGACTAACTGCTACTCCGTGTTGTAGTACTACTAGCATGATCAACTACTCCGTAAAATGGTTCATACGAATTCATTAGGTTGTGCCTGGGATTTTACGCGTCGGAAGGCAATTTCCCCATGCAACTGTCTCCTGGCGGCTCTGCACGACCGGGCTTCTTGCATGAGGTCATTAAACTACGCCCACTTGTTATGCACTTCAGTCATCCGCAAATGGCTCGACAAAGCTGCAGACCCGCCATGGCTTGTTAGTCTGGCCCATCTGGTTTCTTGCTCGTGGCGGTCAGCGTTTGCTGGGGAGGGAAAAAATTGACCGGTAGGCTCGCGACTTCAGAACATTAAACCCAGGACAAGGGTGCCTCGGCCCCCCCAGAGCCGTCAGGTACCCAATGTGAGCTGTAGCATGTTAGCGCTGAGACGCGATCCGACAAGACGGAAATATTGGTCTGTTCATCTGCACGCTGACGGGGGGAAGATGGTACTATTGCATTGTCCCAATTGCGACCAATTGGCCAGGATCAATTGACGTCTCGACCTTTCTGTGCTACTGCATTGCCGAGTCCTGCCATGACTAACTATCCACTCAACCGATCTGTTCTCGCGCTGACCTATTCTTTTGTCCTTTCCGTTCTTCTTTAGCTCAGTTTCGCAACCTCTCGGTTTAACGCTCCTTCCTTCATTGTCTTTTCTCTACTGAACGCTTTCGTTTCATACATTCATTTGTGCGGTTCTCATTTCATACTAATTTGCTTCTTTCCTGCCAATAATTTTACTTATGTAAAGCTCTGTACTCCCACATGTTTTGGCGATTCACGGACCAAGCTGCATCTTCTTTGACCGAGCCTCTTTATTCACCTTTATGACCACTGTCTAATAGTTCTCGCTACTCAAAATTCTTCCGGCTCTAATACCACACAGCTGCCATACGTGTGGACATCAAACTCCGGTCAGGATTCAAGACTTATACCTATCTGATCTAATATCCAGCTACACCGCGTTTGAACCAGATTTTGAACTCAAGCTTTGAGATCCAATTAACGTGATCTCCACCGATTGCCAATAGCGAGTGATTCAAGACTATCGAATCTGTAAAAACATCATTCAGTCGTATGGTTTCAGCGTTTCTCGGACTGTCGGTTTTCTTTTGAATGCTCAGGACGTCTCCGCCTCTCTTGAACTCAGTTTTTGCAGTCGTAGGTATGGGATCGGATTGCCTTCGGAAAATAGCCTCTGGTACTTAGCATGGCGAGGCTACGGCCTACACTACCGGACGGGAGGCTTGGAAATCAGCAGTCTGTTGTCGACCCTTCCCGATTGCAGATCCGTGTTGTGCCTTATAGTCCACCACGAATCAGCTCGGATGGCTCAACACCCTCTCGTCCAGTGTCATATGTCGAAGTTTCGCCAAAGCGCCCTCCTTTGGCTCCCTGCCAAGACAGGGAAAATCAACCGAAGAATGATACTGGTGGTAGTCTGTGCCTATTAGAGGTTGAATCCCAACTACAAGACTCAACTGGGCCTGACCCTCTCATGGACCTCACAAACGAAACCGCTGAATCGGCCGATCACGTCAATAAAGTTGAGAACTGGTCCATTGTCTCTCCAACGACAATCCCTGCGTCCCCTTCACCTTCTAATCGCCCTTCCAGAAGGACTATTGCAGTCAATTCCGACAAGACTTTCTCTCTTCTACCACAACCGTGTTCTTCTGCCTCTGCGGTCGAGGGGCTGCGATCTCCACGCCGGTCGTCGACAGCCCCAAGCTCCTCGGCAGATAGGACTATTTCCGGAACTTTTGGTGACGATCAGCCAAGCTCTCCTCTCACTCCTCAAGAACTTTCTCAGTCGCCATGCTCGCCCTGCTCGTCGCCATTTCCTGCCAGTTTTATTGCTGCATCCTCACCCTCCAACTATACGCTGGTTGGCGGTGTGCGAAAGGTCCCAGACAATGACGGAGGCGGCAAGGCCAGGGCTTTGTCCATTCCTTCCCTCCCAGTAGAGCGGGATTTGCAGGCAGCCTTTGTAGGATCGCGCCCATCAGCCAGCGGTTATAATCAGCCGGGCATGTTGTCCTCGAAACAATCCTTTCCGTCCGAATCAGCGTCCACATTGTCTGAGAGGTCCAACTACAAGACCTTTGTCAGTGAGTCGCATTACAGTGGCCCAGATCGGCATTTCGAAGCAGCCGACGACTCAAATGCGAAACTTTCTCTGCTCTCGTCAAGCCATTCTAATTTTGAGATCATTGGTGAAACCTGTTCTGAACAATCGGCGGAGAATCGCTCCAGCTCGGATACCAATGACAGCAACAGAAACTACGTACTACATGGAGACTTCCCGTCATCACCTCCTACCGCAGTGGCTTCCGGTTCTGTGTTGAAGACAGAGTATTCAAGGGAAAGTCTAGTCGTGGCACCGCTGAGGCCCAGCAAGCGGTTCTTCTCTGATCAAGCTACAGTGTCTCATCAGAAGTCTAGGGACTCCATTCGGACGGGATCTCTCACCTCGATCTCGAGTGCTTTCGTTGAAGAAGCCACCCGGTCATTGTTCGCTGGCGGCTCTGTGATTACGTCGCACGGCGGTGGTATCCGCCACACCTCACCTCGACGGAATACTACCATCGGACCTGGGAATCGCCATCAGAATTTATCGTATCACCACCATTGGAGTGCCACTCTATCTCCCATACTATCCGAGAGTGACAGGGGGAGTGCCGTGCCCTCGTTGGCTTTGTCTCACACCACGGCTGGCGACCGCCGTCTCCAGAGCCAATCCTTCGACGTCGGTACACCAGACCTACCACGCAATGATGGGCAACCAAATGTTGAAGCATGGATGGAACTTCCGCCTCCTGCTAGTTACAGGGTTTGGAATCGGGACTTCAATAACAGCAGCTTGCGACTAATTCGAGACCAAGATGAGCACGGAGACGGACTCGCTGAGCTTGAAGAGCTTCAGCGACGCCCATCTCGAACAAGGCTTCACAGCTATCTATCGGGTTTACCCTCCGATCGGAATCTTCGTTCATCTGGTAGTTCTCGAAGTAATAGCTTCAGTCGTTGCCACATCCCCGCTTGGGCCAGGTAAGCCGGCATTGCAGAAGTTTGGATTTGGCCGTCATCGATCCGCTAATGTGTGCTAGGCTATATTACGGTAGCGGTGAGCGCCGTTTCCTGACTATACAACACTCCTCTGATTCTCTGTTTTCGGAGTTCAGTGCAAGTGTCCATAACAGCCCATTGATCAGCCGCTCCCCAAGCATAAAGCGCTTCACTCCAGGTACTCAACTTCCTCCTCAGCGTCGACCACCTCCTGCGCCATGCGAAGCTCCGTCAGCACCACAGTCAGCTTCTGATGGACCTGTACCATGCCCTCCGCTCAACATGGTGTGCCGCATTAAGAAGCAGACATCGAGCATATGGTCACCACACCTAAGGCGGGACAGAAGATCACGAAGATACAACCTCTGGCGACCACCGTCTACAGTCTGGATTAAAGAAAAACACATCTCCCGACGGAGCAACGTCCAAGCAATATTGTTTGTTTCGGGTTTTGTTTTCCCTTTCGGTAAGAATGAACTCATCTTTGACATGCTTATTTCTACGGCTAAACTCGATTCCAGCTTGGATGATTGCGTCATTTCTTCCCCTGCCACCAACAGTGGAGGCAGATATGAAGGAGAAGAATCATAGCACAAGCCATATGGACCTAGAACAAGGAAGAAGCGGTTCTATTCCTGAGCAGGACAGCGATAACTGCTACAACAAGGTTAAATGGTGGAGAAGCCTCAATCGATACATGTCCATCATCGGCCTACTCTTGGTTGGAGCCGCTATTGCCCTCATCGTTACCAGTACACAACAGCGGAAGCCCTAGTGGTCAGCTTTCCGTTGCCTTTCCGTTGCCACACATGCGCCCCTCATTGCAAATAAACATGGTTGTTCTATTTCATGATCTCATATTCCCCAACTTCTTCAAAATTCTTCCCGGACCCCTGGCATACACAGTTTGTCATCTCTCGTTACACATCCCTTTGCCACAAAATAGTCGACTACGGTTTATATACGGCAATCTTGGCAATGGAACCTTTCCCCACCTTCGCCTAGTTGGAATGCACATATTTTCTCTATGTTGATATCTTACTCTCTTTATCATTGTTTTGATTTTAGTACCTACTTTACCCTCCCCTCGGGTGCCTCTATCTTTTTTTCTTTGGCGCAAGACATTCATGCATTACGATGGAGCTTTGAACGATAAGAGACGGATACACCTTGTACAAGATATGACATGATTTGAACGCGACACCTAATTGACGACCCGGATTTAAAATCTTTGGAATAAAGCGATCTGTATACACAGGATGGGAGACGAACGATATGTACGCCGGAGAGACGCTGACGCTAATTCATGTAATGATTTTGGTGTTTACCAAGCAAAATGTATAGTAGGGAAAAGCGCTCGTGGTAGAGCAAATTCTAGTTTGTTACATATGGACATTTATGCAAAACACTATAATGTTTTCTTCTGTCGTGCTTCCACCTCAGCCCTGATTTCCGCCATGGCCTCCGTCACGTCACGCTCGGGATCTTTCGATATTCCCAGAATGGGATCTTTGCCAGTAAGACTATCGGTACTGGCTGACCGAACCAGCTTCGCACTTGCCTTGCCCTGGCGCTTCTCTAACTCTGCTTTTAATACCGTCTTGCCTGGCGAGGCGAAAAATAAAAGACCTATCACAGTCCAAGCAGCGCCGTAGAAGTAAACACGAGACCACGCGCGGATGGAATCCGCAAAGGTGAGGACGAGGAACGGCGTCGTAGCAAATGAAAAGGTAAGCTGAGTTACAATGAAGCTGGCGGCATCGTAGTACTTTTTTCTCGGGGACGGACCACCAGTGATGGCATCGAGGAAGAAGGGGCGCACTAGGCGTCGGAAATCTGTCACACACTTCAGTACCAAGCTCGATGGTTATCACGCGGGTAATCAGAGGCCATCAATCTCACGCAGAGGTTACGTGGTGTGGGTCGCGCGATCACTTACTCTTGGCAGCTGTTTGAATGAGACTGGCAAGGACAAATGTTAAGTAGTAACCGGGATAGAAACCATGCCAGAATGCGCTGGTAACAAATGTCATCATGCTAGCCCTAAATCCTGGCTTCTTTCCCCTTGGCGTGACTCTAAGATATACGTAGTTCCGGAGCCAGCTGTTTGTATTCATATTCCATCCAGCTAAGTAGCCGCGAGGATTTTGTGCAGTCTCGACCACCCAAGGATCAACGTTCTGCAGGCGATTCCAAAAAACCTTCCCTGTAATGGGGTCGACTCCGTTATATCCTAATCCGGCAAGGATACAGGATCCTTCAGTTAACGTCCAAACTCCATAATATTTTAGTCTAGTTACCAAGTTGACCATGTACATGATCCAAATTCGACGCCACAGAGCATGATGCATGTACGTGTCCACAAGAAGCTGATCGTGGCCATAGCTCGCAGACAAAACAACGAACAGGCTAATCCAGAAGAGTCCGAGAAAGGCCTTGAAGGTGGCCGGAGTGCCGCTGCGCGGAATTTTTCTTTTCTTCCTAGAAGGAGGTTTCTTCGACGGATCGACGTTGGGCGGCATATCAAACATCGAGGTGTCGACCCATCGTCGATAATCAACGTAATCAAATGCTGGCCCAGCGAATAGGGAAGGAAAGAATAAAGTGTATCCTGCATAGTCCAGGATGCTGGGGAGCTCACACAGCGCTCGATCTTTCTGGAAATCTGATAAGACTTCATCGGGTAGCTGGCCATCGGCAACATTCCAGCAGAAGGCGCTCAGCTTCATCACCAAAACCATTTGCGCGCCGGTGATGTCGACTGAAGAAGGGCTGTTCGCGGCTTGGCGTCGGATATGGCTGATCGACATGTGGCCCATGACGAACATGAAGCCAACCCATGGCATGTAGTAGCTGTTCTTCATGTATTTGGCAATCAGGTACACACCGCCTGCGCTTAAAGCTAATGTTGAGAGGCCGTCCCAAAGATCAAATAGGCCTATCAGGTAAAAAATGGACGTCCTGGCAAGCAAGATGATTGGTCAGCAGATCAATCGAGGTTGAGAGCGGAGGACGCAAAGAGCGGCCAAGGGGATGTTACCCTATTATGAACAGGTTTTTGCGATACGGCTTTGCATCAGGCACACGCTTGAGGAGTCCTGCCAGAGGATACGACAGTATAAAGGAAAAAATGAGCTTGACTAGTTCGAGGTGAGGTCAGGAAAAACGAGTCTGGCGTGGCGGAAGCGGTAGAGAACTGGCTCACGTTCGTCTGGCGATGCTCCGAGTTTCTTCGAAACCACTTCAAAGGCTGATGGCACATTCCAAGTTAGCAAAAGGAAACAGGGCAAGAAATGGTCTCGAAGAGAACGTACGATGGTGTATGAAGCGTAACATCTTGTCCAGACTGGTGTGGTGCCGGCCAAATAATAAGTTAAAGCAAACTTCAAAGGACTTCAAGGCCGCATTACGCAAGGTAATTTTCCAGGGAAAAAAAAAACCAGAGACTGTTCGACAGTTAAATAGAGCAACCAGCTCGTAGCAGGTGGTCCATACAAGACCGTAGTCAGAAGATCCGTGAATTGCTACCGAGACCTTTGAAGCAAGATGGCGGCCACAAGGGCAGGGCAGAAAATGACGTTGGGGAGCTCAACCCACGTCTCGTCATTTAGGTACCACACACGACTAACCCAGTGCGAAGTGGTAGGCGCACTAACCAATCTGGAGCCGGTGTCAGCCTGCAGGCAGGTGTGCTAGTTACTTAAAAGTACCGACTGATATCGAGATGTTGGCATTATGAGCACGTTGACAAAATCAAACTGTTAATTGGTTTACTTCCAGCCCCTACACATTTCCATTCGGCAGAGCCCATTCCACGTTATTTATGAAGTGTTTAAACTAGATAAGCATGAATATGACGAAAACGGTCCTAGCCCCAATAAACAGCCTCGTGACTTTGTCATGGTACGACCGTAGTCTCGTTTAAATTGCTGTCATTGTATGCATTAACACGGATGGATAGATATTCCTGCCCATGGTGCAGGTCAATTGAACAACACAGCCTCGTCTCGTCATACGTTATAGCTAGTACAACCAAACGCCCTTCCCACTTTTCTTGGGATACTCCCGAGACGGCCATTTGACAGCATCTCGAGCTAAGAATAACCACATAATATTTGTCTTATACTCTAATAAACTCGCATCGAAAAACACTGTGTATTGTATTGTACAGAAGAGTTATCGACCATTTCCACCTCTACCGAAAGCATGTGCAAGCTCAGAAGCCGTCATCTCAAGAATTTGCGGCGTCTCGGCTGCTCTGAGAGCTGGCGCTCATGGGCGGACGGCTAGTTGGGAGGGAGTCTTTTGAACCGCTTGACTGCCGCACTCTAGCCCACGCATAAACAATGCCACTCACGAACCCAATGACGATGGCCGACACACTGCCGAATGTGACTGGGGCCGCAAAGAAGACTAACCCGCTGATGGCGATGGGCAGCTTGTTAAGGGCTCCCACCATTGAGTACGTGGTGGATGATGTGACTCTGATGCACCACGCAGAGCAGTACGAGATAAATATTGCTGCTAATCCAGAGTAAACCATGCCGATGATAATCCGGTTACGCGATTCGTCAGGGAAGTTCTTGGCGAAATTGGTACCCGACCAATCTTCTGCCAGTAACGAACATATAAAGAGGACAGGGATCGTTAATAAATTATTGTAATACATGGCTATTTTGTCAATGGTTAGTTTGCTCCTTTTGAGATTGTCTTTGCTGGAGTCACTCTCCGCGCTCCGGCGACATCCGGGTCTAAGGAGACGGCACTTACTATCCCAGTCTTTAAAGTTCATCTTCTTGATCACTTTGCGCATGCCCAGCACATAAGACGCGGTGCAAAAGACATTCAACCCCATCCATGCGTACCCAGCATTTAGAGTAGACATGGCTGCCGAGGAGTCAGCATGTCCGAAGTCGCCAGCGATCGCGCTCTGTATATCTGCCCAGGCAGCAACCACGGAACTGAGAACCATAAGCCCGAACGATAACAGGGCAAGCGGAGTCACGCTGCCACCAAACCACAAAACTTCACCATAAGCGATGACGATAATGGTCAAGTTCTTGAAGATCGTGTATACCGGAACAGAAAGAAACTGTAATGCTTTGGTGCTAGTATAGATCATACCGACGAGTAGGAGCGAGATCGGGAACCCTGCACGTCATATTCAAACTATCAGTCTCATATACGAACGTATTCAACACGAGAGTATTGGAGAGATGCATCACTAACATTTTCTAGCCTTGTTCCGGTCAAAGGGTGCGAGATTTTGTATAAGTCCGAAAGATTTGCAGGCCGAAATGGCCGCGATGCAAACAACTGCCTATGGGTTATGAGCATTTCACATATCTCAGGATTTTCCCACACTGCCTGGAGTCTGGAGAGGAAGGTCGCAATACCTGGATGGCAAGATAGAAGAAATTCAGGTTCCAAAACGTTCCTGATACCACATATTTGTTTACAACAGTCATACTGATAGAAGAGAAACAATAGGCCACAACGGAGAGCGGGGGGCTGTTATCCAACTTTGACAACGACTGGCTGAATTCATTTTGCCCACGGGTTCCCGATGGAGTGGCCTTGGTCATGAAAGCCTCCTTCTCATTTCCAGCAAAGCCCCCATCAGATATTTGCACGACAAAGTCCTCGTTCTTCTTGTCGCCCATTTTGACAGTAACGGTCGCAAGTCGTCTCGCGAGGATAATAACGTCGTGGAGATCCGTGATCGATGCTCAATAACGATGAGGTGCGCACTGTCCGCAAAACTAATGAGTGAAAAGAAAACAATTGCCACAAACCGTGGAACGAAGATCACAGAGAGAGAGATATCTACACGCCGCCATAACAGGTTTTGTGAAGCAACTAGCTCTTCATACCGCAGTGGTGACGTGACCCCCTTAAACCTGGCGACCGAATTGACAATCAATATGCAATAATAACCCTTAATAATATGCAGTTATGCGAGCATGCATCCGCGGTAGGTATGTGATTATTATAATAGCAACCCAATTTTTGATAATTATTTTAATATAATTTTTCTGGTCTCTTCCTGTTCTTTACCTATCAGATGTTACGCTTGCACGCTGTGTGTGTGTTTTATTGGTTTTTTTTTTTTTAAATTCCTTTTTTAAGAAGAAAAAGTATCCTGTTTTAAAAATTACTTTTTTTTTTCTTGATTCGTAAAGCCCAGCGCCTTTTTTTTTTTTTTTTAACGTGTGTTTCAAGGGCTTTCGCGCTGCAATTAGAGGGTTACAGTAAAATTATTGGGCCTTTCAAAAATTCCTAAGCGCTAATATTGATTTTTTTTTTTTAGTCTTTAATAGATTTTTATTTAAAAAATTTTTAGGGGTAAGGATTTTTTTTTTTAAAAAAAAAAAACCTAAGTAGTAATTTCTAGGTATTATTATTTATTTGTCTTTTATAAAAAAAAATGCATAATAAATAATTTATTACCTCGCGCGCCTCGTAATTTTTTTTTTTTTGGATTGGCTTTAAGTCGACCGGCACAATAAATAAGACGTACCAGGCTCTGAGGACAGTAACGAGCATTAAAAACCATTACAAAAAAGAATTTACACACCTATTAGGCCTAGTAGGCAGCTCAGTTGCTCTGAGGGAATCTCTACATCACTTGCGGAAATCTTATTAGGGAATGCCGAACAACAACTTAAGCAATCTCACTATCTCCTCGACTAGCATCTTCCTCGTTCGATCAAGTCCTTGTCATGGACGACCATGACGCGACCCCGAATAGCTTACGGCACGGCGCCATCCTCGACAGATATCTCCCGGAAGGCTACTCTGCTGACCCAGAAGTGAGCTTATCGTCTCAACCCACGGTAGAAAGCATAGCGGAACATGGACGAAGCGTGGAACAAGTCTTGGGGCCATCGACGACGACAGTCTTGCCTGGGGTTGGTATCGCCGAATCATCATCAACTAACCCCGATGACTTGTCGTCAGAGACTCTCGAATCATCGCTAAAGCTACAAGGTGGAGATATACACCGTGACATGTTCAAGATTAAAGCCCAGGCGAATTCACTGCGGCGAGCTGCGACATTCTCCCATCAACCATCTCCACGTTTGGGCCCGGCTGACGAACACGCACACCACGGCAGGCATCGTCGGAGGTTCAGTGGCACTCTGATCATTACGAAGAACTTCGTCGATTTTCTAGACCTATATGGCAGTTTTGCCGGCGAGGATTTAGAAGATGAAGACACATCCGAGGACGAGTCTGCGATCGACGACCATGACATAGACGAGCCAAACGAACGCCGGCCACTCATTGATCGCCCATTCACACGACGACGCAGAAGCTCCAGGCGGTTGGCACGAGAAGGCGATGCTAGCACTGTGAAAACCTTCTTCACACTTCTCAAAGCCTTTATTGGAACTGGCATTATGTTTCTTCCCAAAGCGTTTCGTAATGGGGGTATCCTCTTCTCGTCCCTGACGTTGGTGGCTGTGTCACTGATCAACTGCCTGTGCTTTCGCCTCTTGCTTGACTGTCGGCAGAGATATGGCGGCGGCTATGGCGAACTCGGAGCGTCCATCGTTGGTCCCAAGTTCCGCGGTCTCATTCTCGGCTCGATTGCGTTATCCCAGTTGGGGTTCGTCTGCACCGGACTGATCTTTACTGCAGAAAACCTATGTTCCTTCTTGGATGCTGTAACTCGGGGCCAAAGAAATGTTGATGTTGGGGTGCCGAGCCTGATTGCTCTGCAGCTTCTACCTCTTGTGCCACTGGTCCTTATTCGAAAAATCTCCAAGTTAGGGCCCGCCGCCTTGCTTGCTGATGTCTTTATTCTTGTTGGCCTTGTATACATTTGGCAATTTGATATACGGGCCTTGGCAACGCATGGAATGGCACCTAGCGTGCAACTGTTCAATCCTTCGGCATTCACTTTGACTATAGGTTCTGCCATCTTCACTTTCGAGGGTATAGGTCTCATCTTGCCTATTCAGTCCAGCATGAAGAAACCGGAACAATTCAGTGGGCTACTATACTTTGTGATGTTGCTCATTACAGTCATCTTCACATCAGTCGGTGCCCTTTGTTATGCTACTTTTGGCGAAGAAACGAAGATTCAGATCATTTCCAACTTTCCCCAGGACTCAGTGGTAGTCAATGCGGTTCAATTACTGTACTCTCTTGCCGTCCTAGCAGGCGAGCCTGTCCAGTTGTTTCCAGCCGTACGTATCATTGAAACGTCATTGTTTGGGGAGAGAGCTACTGGCAAGAAGAGCCTTGCCATCAAGTGGCAGAAGAATGCGGCTAGGACCCTAGTAATGGGTCTCTGTGTTGGCATCAGTATCGTTGGTGCCAGCGATTTGGACAAGTTTGTGGCCTTGATTGGAAGTTTTGCATGTGTGCCACTTGTATACATCTACCCGGCGTATCTGCATTATAAGGGTATTGCGGAATCTTCATTGGCAAAGGCATTAGACATGGCAATAATGATTGTGGGCTTGGTTGCCATGCTTTATACCACATCGGTCACTTCTGCTCAATGGATACAAAGCTAGATGGATAGATGTAAGATATCTAGATACATGGCCCCCGCCGAGTTGAAAGAATCGAGTTCGATATATCCAGTAGTAATACTCGGCGATGAATACTAAGTGCCTATGTACCTAGTACACAAACAAAGCCTAGTAATCTATTTAGTCCCTCACAAAGTCACAATTAGTTTTAGCATCAGCAGATTCAATTAACGGTCCCCGTTTGTGTCCCACGTTACCTACTAGTAGAAGGTAGTAGGCAGGCAGTTGGGCAGGTATTTAAATGTACACTTCATGATGTATGTAAACGACAGTTGAGCACGGCCTATTGGCAATGTGCTTGTAACATGATGCCAAGTAGGCCCATGTCAGTACGTACTCCGCACTCTTGTGCACATTTCATTTCTGGCTCTATGTACGGAGTACTACTTGTACATGAGTACTTGTCGATCCTACCTAGGTACCTAGGTAGTTGCCACCTGCTAGCGGGCTAAGCAGTTGGCCTCGTGGTCGCACCCCGCGCGCGCATCTTCTTTTACCAGTTATTGCTGATGGGCAAAAAGAGTGAGCCCGCGGAGCAATTCACGCCCAAGTACCGTTGACGTCATGCTCGCCCACCACAACTGCGCCTCTCATTCGTGACGCCCCAAAGCCACAAACATTTCGTTCTTATGTCCGTTACCAGACTCGTTCCGGTGGCTTTATGTGGAAGACATCTGCGGCATGTTCCCAGCCAGGCAGTAAGTACCTACATACTAGGAGGAGGTAGTAATAGTACGCTCGTACAAAAAGAGGGTTTGCTCCTCGTTCTCAGGCAGGCTCTTTAACATGGCCCGACCTCTCTCACATGCACGCATTACCATTTCTCAAGGCTTAACTCAGTCTCCATCATCAGCTGATACCATTTGATATGGCATTAAGAGGAATGTCCGGGTCCGCCCCCGCATTCAGGCAGTTGGTCAATGCCTCCCGTAGCACAGTGTCCGCTGTTGTCCCTGGGCGGCTTCAGTCAATCCAGCGGGGGGCTTCACATAGCTCCGCGAGAAGCCGCAACATCGTTTCCAGTACAAAGTCTCGCTTACTGCCCGAATTTTCGCTCAAGAACAAAGTAGTGGTTGTGTCCGGTGGTGCCCGAGGACTAGGCCTTGTCCAGGCAGAGGCCCTGCTCGAGGCAGGCGCAACAGGTATGTATAGCCATCTTGTCAACCATGGAAATAGTTCCAATTCAATAATATGTATTCAGATAATTTACTAAACAATTCAAATACTCTTAGTCCACGCTATTGACAGGCTCCCCTCTCCTGCCAATGATCTCAGTTCGCCCTTCTCGGAAGTCTCCCAGAGGGCAAAGGACGAGCTTGGTACTTCTTTAACTTATCACCAAGCAGATGTCAGGGATGTTGCGCTTTTAAACAAAATCATGGAAAACATCGCCAACCAGTCTAATCGCCTGGACGGACTTATTGCAGCAGCAGGCATCAATCACGAGACCCAGGCTCTGGAGCATAGCGCCGACGTGGCCAATCGTATAATGAGCATTAACGTTACAGGCGTCTTCATGACAGCACAGGCAGCCGCTCGTCAAATGGTTCGTCTCAAACAGCCAGGTAGCATTTGCCTCATCGCCAGTATGAGTGGCACCATCGCCAACAAGGGCATGTACGCACCGTAAGTAGTTACTGGGCCAGTTTTCAAGTTTCAGTTCCAAAATTTCGGAGGAGAAACAAGTGAGACTCTGCCACGGTAGGAAAGAATAACAAAGCGGAATATTATAGGGCATACAATGCATCGAAAGCAGCCGTCATTCAATTATGCAGGAGTCTGGCGGCGGAATGGGGCCAGCACGGCATCAGAGTAAACTCCCTCTCGCCGGGCTATATTATGACCCAGATGTTACAAAATCTTTTCGACGACTTTCCCGAGCGCAAGGTCTTATGGCCGACAGAAAACATGCTCAACCGCCTGAGCATGCCTCATGAGTTCCGCGGTGCAGCTGTGTTTCTGCTGAGTGATGCCAGTAGTTTCATGACGGGTAGTGACCTTCGTATCGACGGAGGCCATGCAGCTTGGTGAATTAAATTGCCATTAATTTTATTTGATGGCCTGAAAAGCGCCGTTTTTTGGTTGACCGGGATTGTTGTATTTCGATGAAGAGAAGAATGCTACGTATACGAAGCCTAGACGTCATCCATGCCACGATGTCTTGTTACCTAGTTGCAGAGACATGTGAAAACACTCCATGACGACCAAGTTTTTTGACTGTTCCAGGCTCGAGGCAGTGGCGCTCCTCAATTTCCGCATATGGTATACCCTGATCCCGCAGTTTGATGGTGTTGATCAAGATCCTCGTGTCGACGAATCTTTTGTACTGCCTTCCATGTAGTCCGGTTTTAGCGATATCATCATTCGCCTGTTGTTGGAGATGTCGACGGGCTTCCAGGACCGATAATGTAGCATTCTGTTTGTTTGGCGGGTATTGAATCATTGAGGGATCGCTTGCCACTTTTCGGACATCATTTTTGGGTGTTGATGACGGTGAGGATGTTACATTCGGTTGTACCATGCCCATTTCATGGAGACGTTGGGAGAAGTCGGCAGATGCGAAGTCAGGGTCGTTTCCATCTGCTTTTGCTTCTATTGATTGAAAGTCAGTAAGTATTGACTGGCTGTGGGCACAATGAAATACATCTAGTGGGGTAAACACGTCAAATACCATCGCCCATTTTGCTATTGCCCCTTGGTTGCCTTGATTGTCGTGTACTCTGGTCAGCAGGACGCAGATTTGGCGGCGCCTGACCACTATATTCCCGCGGTGGATATCGCCGTGCAACCGCCGGAGCCGCGCGGCCAATCTTGGAGGCCGAAGAGCCCATGGTATGCTGTCTGGCGACCGGTAAGCTATTGTCTTTGGCGAGCTATCTCTTTGACGCTGATGTCCGGAGGTTGTCGTTTACAAGAGATGTGAACTAGTAGTTCACCCGCTACCACTGGCTATCTGCGAACATGAGTGGGGCAATCCTGGCGGCAGGCACGGTGCAACTTACGGATATGTTTATTCACTTTGTAAACCTAGGTACGTATTCGCCTAGGGTACTGTGCAGCGACGTGGTACTTGTTATATGATACTACAGCATTTACAACACGTAGAGCTCGAGAACAATACTAACCCCTTAGACCCCCAATTCTCGTACCTGGCCGGCCGACCAAGACTGCTACACGTTGCCACACACCGGCAGAATATCCCAGCAAGCTGTCTTGCAATAACCGACAGGCGTGATGACGCTGAGAAGTACACGAATTGACGCGTAAAGGTAACGTATTCATATGGCGGCGGTACCTCATTCACCGCATTCTCGGCCACAGAATGCGACATGCTGTAGGGTAAGTCATTGATAGCCCAACATTCACGAACCGTGTATTCGGCGTATGGAACACGAAGCAGTGCTGATACTGACAACACCGGGGAGGATTACTGCCGGGCAGTCAGAAGGAACATATTGGTCAGAAGGAACATATTGGACCGACCACGACACCTTTTATGCACAGATACCGACACTGGAAAGACTACATATACCCACATGGGTAGGTGGAGGGACAACAAATAGAACCAGACTACACCGTACACTGTATCGAAAGGCAGGCGCGACAACCCAATCCCACCAGACAGAATTACCAAGTAGGTGAAGACTAAATACATGCCCCCATCTTGCATACAGTGTAACATATCGCAGCGTTCGCATGACATAGATCGAGCTATAACGTAGCCCAGGACTGATAGTATCCACTGAAATACTCAATATGACACTTGAAACCGAACAGCATTTTATTGACGTAGCCCGTGCCACAATATTCTTGCCAGACTCCGCTAATGAGGCTGGATGTTAGAAGTCTCTCTTCTCGAGCCAGGGGCACGTCGCTGTACAGAGCTCGGATACTGTTAGGTCATACCCCAGCGAAACACGAACGACACTGCCAAACTGGCCTCGTAATCACCCTAGTCATCATGTATGAGTCGAGCTCGAGCCCCTGGCGTCTTGGCCAGCTTTGGAGCTGCATATAGTAGTATGCCACCTCAAAAGTCCACTCTTGCCCAGACCTGCTATTCTTCGCCAGTAAAGTATACTCTCAGACAAAGACTGGATCTGATCGCGTTGTACCGAGTGACAACCAGATGGCTTCAAAGTTGCTATTCGTGCTGGCTTCTGTACGTTATACGGTGAATCGATAGCTTGCTGGCCGTTGATGCCCATGCCGTTTCTATATACCGAGTTCAGAGCATGCACTTGCAAGCTATAGCGTGAGACACAGTGATGAAAGACACAGCACTCATTCTCTCAACAGAGCTCGCGACATGAATCGGTACTACTCGGCCAAGCGGATCATAATACCTGGAACCACCTGTCGGAAGCACTGTCCCAAGACTGAGCTTGATTCAGCGTAGGTAGTACAGGTGTTGAACTCCTAGCTCCATAAAGATGACATGCAAAGGCTGCAGTTGGAGAACATGGGTTACACAAACCGACACTCAGATTTCATGTTTTTCTGCGTCGTTTGCTTGTTGATGTACTGGGACTAGACGATGCAACACACGAACCATCCTTCAGGTCCGTCGGTGACGGAGCATCGTAGTCGCTGCTGAATCCTTCAAAGACCTCTTCACGGTCGTAGCCCCTCCCGCTTCCCGGCTGATTAGCAGCTGTTTTCGCGGAAACGGAGTTGGAAGTATCGCCGGCATCTTCCAGGCCACGTTTCTTTGGCATCTCGCCGAGCCGCCCGTCACGGTCGGTGACGCCATTGTCATCAGTGTTTCTAGACGGGGCAGGTGTAAACCAAGGAATTTTGCCCCTCATAAAATCGTTCAAGACCATTTTAGCAACGCCATCTAAATCGGGTTCCCCTCCGCGAAGAAGACGGCCACTTTTCCTGGCAAGGAGCTCAAGAAGTTCAACCGCGTTGGTCCATCCCTTAAGATCGTACGTCTTCTCCATATGATGGCGCTTCACCTTGTTCAGGACAGCAGGGATGTATTGCTCCGGATGCTCTACCTTCTCGACCCGGACAACACCACGTAGAACGAGGTCGGTGGGAGTATCGGTACTAGACGGGGGGACCACACCTGGGCAATCAATAAGGTAAATTCTCTTCATCAGGCTTACATATTGCCAGACTTTGGTCTCCCCAGGAATTGGGGCCACTGCGCAGACTTTTTTTTTCAAAAGCGTATTAATGATGGACGATTTGCCGGTGTTTGGCCCTCCAATTAGTCCAACAGAAATTTGTTTCCTGTCTGCGTGTAAAGAGGAAAACTGTCTCAACAACTGGATTAGGGATCCTTTGCCGAACGAGTTGTTGATGCTAGCATGGAAGGCTAATGTGGGGTATTCCCTAGATAGACTTCGAACCCAGGAGGCCTGGCCTTCAGTTAGCGCACAAACATTTTACCGCAAGAACGCGACGTGTTTAAAACGAGGGAGTGTATGTGTCATCACTAAGAAGTCTCCAGTTTGTTTCCCCTTAAGGATGATGAAGATTTCAACTCATTAGACACAAATACCAACTCAAGACAGTGCCAGAACGGCACACATCAAGCCACCAACGCAGGTTAATGACAGACGAGTATGATATGATTGATATTCCAACGCTGTAACAGACAACCTTCGTGAGAAAAGAATGGAAGGTGTCCTGACAAAAGACATTGGGTTGCGAATCGAGTTTGAGGGACATGGGACCAAGGTTTTGTGGCAACGGAAAATATTGTAAGAACTTACAGCGACGCTGGTAGGAACAAGATCACACTTGTTCAGCACGAAAATCAAATGCTTGTGTGGCGCCTCTTCCTTGAGATACTTCTCGATGCTGTGGCAACGGGTTCCCACTGGGTCACGAGCATCAAGGACGTGAATGACCACGTCGGAGGAATCAATGACCTTGTACAGCTCATTCCAAATTCGTTTGCTCTGGCCTTTGTCGAAGACAGGCTCAATTGCCATCGCCACCTGCCGCTCCTCTTCATCCTGGCCGGATATTCCGCTCAGCAGTTTAGCTTGCTCTAAACGGACTTCGTATGTGTCCATACTCTTCTCAGTATCTCCGACGAGATCTGTCAGACTGCTAACATTAAGCTTGACTCGTTTGCGCTGCGCCTTTGGACCGAATACCTCTGCAAAAGGTGATGTTTCCACGGCCACTTTAGCCTCATGTTGCTTGATCCCCTTAGCATCTTGACCATCTCGGATGAGGCTCATGGGAAGTTTATTTGATTTTAGGAGGACCTGATATGGATCATTTGCCTTCTCTGCCATGGCATCACGGAATGCCTTGAGTGTGTCCTGCGACACAACACGAGTATTTGTGAACCACTTTCGGTTCGGCTCGATTCGAGCATCTGGGACATCTCGGGACTGGAAAGAAGCTGCCTTCGTGATTTTCCCTTCCGAATTCCTCTGCGCTTTCCCCTCCTTGTACATATTCAAGGTCTTGACTTTCTTCGCATTGCTTGCATGAGGCTGTTAGACTGGCTCACAACTGAAAATGTGAGATACGAGACGTACCGATAGAAGTTCTCACCCTTGACGCGAACATTTGCAAGGCCATCTCCAGTTTTCCCTTGGCGAATTCGCCTGTTGGCCTCTTTCTTACCTGTCCCCATGATGTCTAAAACCCTTCCCGGGCGAGTTGTGGGTAGGTGAGTTGAGGATGTGAAGAAATGGGCTTGCCTTTTTTTTTATGTGCCCGTTTTAAACCAGGCGAGCCCCACCTAAACTTATAAACTGGGTGGTTGGCTAATTTAAAGACTAGTCGGTGGGGATTGCGGAAGTAGATAATCCGGGCCTGCTAATATGCATCATATTTTTTGAGAGCTGACCTTGTCAACTCTGCGGTTGAAGCAGATAATCCTTCGCTGCGATACACAACAGAAACTGCGCCGACGCCATGTCTCTTAGTGCTCCTGGGTCCCATATTCGTCTCCAGCTACGGCGAGCTCTCTCAATTTCCCACGCGAACTTTTCAACATCAGCCCCTGCCCAAACGATCCGCGTGCCTCCAGAATCACCATCTTACATCCGCCTTCCTACTCCACCTCAGTCCGATGAGACCAAACCTCCTCGAGTACGTGGTCATCTCCCAGTTCCGCGTGAGATTTTTCCTCGTGTGGAAGGCAGCCGCAAAATTCAACCTGAATACATAAATAAAACCGCACCACGATCAACAAAATCCTCCCGTGAATCACCGTCGGAGGCACAGGAATGGAAAACTGCCTTGGCAGAAACTAGACGTACCAATCTCAAAGAAGGTCTAGATGCACTCTGGCTTCGCCGTCGGGAAATGGATAGATCTCGCAATGAACGTGTAAGCCACAAGTTCTATAAGCATAACAAGGCTGGTGCGGCTCCGGAAAGAGACGACGACAAGCTCACACGACCTACGGTTTTGACTGCTATTATGGATACAAAGGTGTACCCTGATCCGGATCGGTTTGCTCGCGCAGATAGAAGTCGCACAAAGGTTCTTGCAAAGGAGAAACAGAAGATGGAAGCTAGGAGGGATGCGCTGATGGAGCTTTACACAAGCGCGTCGAATTTTATCGTGCATGAGAATGAGCTGAAGGCGAAGATTGACGAAGTTTTCGCCGAAGATTACTTCCGCAAAAGGAGTGAAGATGGCCATCGCCATGGCACAACAGGGAATATGTGGGGATCGTACGGCAAACCGCCCTCTATTGCCAACATGATGGAGTCGGCTATTGGAACGTCAACTAGGATCATGGAAGCCGATCAAACCGAATCTGACCGTTCAGCCAAACGACAAAAGAGAATAGCAGAGGACTTGACTGGCGGAAAGATGATCTAGACGCACTGTCTGTACAATAAATGTAGTTTGGTAATTGATTGGGAAACTACCTGTATAATTGAAAGCTCTTAATAACTGCCTAGGTAGCTGTGATTGCGGAAGCCCGACCCTCATAGCCCACATTATTTATTTGTGTACACAATTCAACCAGTCATCTTGTAAAGGCCCAGCTGGGGGCGGGCCAGAAAACAGAACAAAATGAAACAAGATGCCTCAGACTCGTCGATGTCTAATATCTAACAACATGTGCGCAGCAGAAATGACGTCCCTGACATCATAGCTACTCCTCTGTATTTCTCGCCTTCATCGTTTCTCCACAAGCAGGAAATGCATCGCCGCATATGCCAGGATTATGAAGGTTATAGCAAAGATGCCTAAATTGCGAATGTCTGACCACAAGGCACCATTGTCGAAGCCGAAAGAACTCAAAATAGCAGCGCCAGGCACGGTGATGTCAAGTCCATATTTCTTGTCGACTAGGGTCAACTCGATAACCTCATTAACTATGAGTGACTCAAATCCGTAGTGGAAGATTGAAACTGACTGAAGCCATAATGCCCCAGGAGGTGTCGCGTCGTGATTGAGCAGAAATCCGGCGAAAAGAAGGCTGAAAAGCATAATCAAACTTCCAATCAAGTTCGCAACACTTCCATTTTTGCATAGGATACCAACGAACAAGCAGATGGCAGCAGCAGCCAGATTGAAGAGCACCAAAACTAACATAAATCTGAAGAAATGTGATGAATCAGGCACTAGCCCAGTCATCGGATAAATAATCGATCCCATGAGGATTGGTGGAACAATTCTCAGCGGAATTATGTCAAATAGAACTTTGGCGGTGAAATATGTGATCGGAGAGTAGTAACCGTTTGCTCGCTCACGCAGAAACAGTAACCGCTCCGCTGAGAATACATTTAAACTAGTTAGAGTGCTGAATCCAAACAAGGCTAGAAGAAAGAAGAATAGGCCAAGACGATTCTGAAAGCCTGGAATATCATCTGTTAGACCGTAGAAGAGGTATCCTGAGAAAACGGCTAGAATTATGGCTATTGCATAATGTGTAAGCATGAGCATCGGATCCCGATAGAGGTTTTTCCAAGTTCTCTGCGAAAGAATCGTGAATTGTCCCAAGTATCCCACACGTGCGTAACCTCGGCCAACAGCACTGAGCGTAGTGCTAGGCCCATCTTCGCTGTGGCTGTTGGCATTCGACCCATTAGCTTGAACCGCACCTATTACTGCTTGACGAATTTCCTGATGAGTCGTTTGTGCTATTTGAGACTGGGAAAATGCCCGTGTCATGAGATCAAGGTCGGAGCCTGATACGGCGGCGGGGGGGAGATCATGTAGGTCATCTCTTGTTTGCGACAATAGCGCGTTTGTGGGATTCAGCTGAAGCTTATAATTGCCCGCCTCATCTCCGCCGGCATCGGAAGAGGCTGCAGTGTCAATAGTTTGCTTTCGTCGAGTGAATAACTGGCGTTCTTGCCGTTGCCGGATCGAGTCCCGGCGGAAGTTTCTCGGCCTGGGTGATGCTGACGGTTCTGCAAAACTATCTTCTCCCGTGCTGTTTCCCGAAATGCTTGCTATCGACTTTACTGCTTTTGTGCTGCTGGGGCCGACACTAACCGTATCTATCGCCACAGTCCCGTCGTCGATGGAAACTCTTCGGCCGGCATGCATAGTGAGGTCGACGAGATAATCGGCTATGTTGAAACCCTGAGGACATTCGTAGCCTATAGAGTCAAAATACGGTTGGCACTGTGCAAAAGGGCCGGAAAAAACTGTTTTGCCTCGCGCCAACAGAATAAGACGGTCGAACAAAGCCACAATGTTAGATCGTGGTTGGTGGATCGTAAATACAACTGTGCGTTGATAACTCTTTGCCAGAGTAACAAGACACTCGATAACATTGTAGGCGTTGAAAGAATCTAAACCGCTCGTTGGCTCGTCAAGGAAGAGAATAGACGGACTCGTGACCAGTTCACACGCTATGCCGACGCGGCGCTTCTCACCACCAGAGATACCGCGCCCCTTGCCCTCTTCGGACCCAATCAGTGAATCCCGAATATGGTATATTCCGAGTTCTTTCTCTACGTCGAAGACTCTCTGCTCTTTGACCGTGCGACTCATATCGCGAGGCAGTCGCAAGAGCGCACTGTTCAGAATTGTCTCATGAACGGTGAGCGTAGGGAGCATGGTATCCTCTTGGTCGACAAACCCAACAACATTTTTGTATTCTGAGCTGCCAACCTTCTCGCCATTAATATAGACGTCGCCTTCTACTAAGCCACGCTTGTTCTTGCGAGCGAGAATATCCAGGAAGGTCGTCTTTCCGGCGCCAGAAGCGCCCATAATTGCTGTTACCTCACCAGGGTGACACAGTCCTTGAATGCCACTGAGGATAGACTTGCCATTCATTTGATATGAGATGTTTTCAAAATATAACGTAGCGGGCTTGTGCTCAGCCATGAGTTTGGTTGTTTCGTCATCGGAGTCTTCCAGGCGAATAGCACCGTATCTCAGCTTCCGCCGCGATAGAGTCCATGTTATGATGATGATAGCCACAACAAAAAGTGCGCAAATAGCGATAACCCCGGCAATAAGAGGTGTGTTGATTTGCTTAACTGGTCTTGTGTAACCTGGAACCTGCGTCTCATGCAAACATTCTCCAGCCTGGCAATCAAGCAGGATGCTAGAATCACCAATGAGGCTGCGGATCAGTTTGTCCATCTCCGGCTCTTTAAAGGCGCAGTCGTGAGCGCCGCCGTTCTTTTGGGTGCATTGAAAACCTCCAGGGCCGCGAATTGCCTGGTCGAGAAAATCGCTCAGATCTATTGACCCGTCCTTGCCACACAGCATGCGCTCTGGGATGCAGCTACATCGAATTTTATCGCAGTTGTAGGCAGTTGTGTTCTTAGTGTCCCCAAACTCGGCATTTGAATCGCAATCGCTTAGATTGCAATAAAATGATTCGACAGCGTCGACCCAAACTGCCGCGAGGACGTTAGTTTCCGAAAATGTTACATTCAAGAAGGAAATAAATGGAAGGCATACACTGAAAATCGCATGTCCTTTCGTCTTTCTGGCAAGTAAAAGTTACTTCAGGTCGTTGTTCACCGAGGAGATCCGTGATTTTCCTGTTGGTGACTTTGCAAATTTGGTGGTTATTGCGTACAACCTCTCCATTTTGATAGCAGACGCCACCATTTCCGGTTTCTACCATAGAGTTGCAAGCTCTGTTATCTGTACAAACATTACAGTTGATTCCTGTCCAACCTTCGTCGCACTCGCAGGTATCACCGGATCGCATCTGTCGGTCTCGACCTTTTGCTAGAGAGCCGCAGACTAAACAACAAGGATTTGTTAACAGACGATCAATCACTGATATAACGGCCATGTCCAATCTGTTTGCACATTTCTGTTTAGACGCAGCACGTACGAGGTTGGAGGCAGTCGTCACCACCGAAGCCTGCTGGGCAATCGCACTTTCCATTGAACTCGTTGCAGCCAGCGTATTGGGCGCAGACATGAGATGGAAGAAGACAGTTGAAGCTACCTATGGTTAGAAACAGAGACATCGTAGTTTCTTCAGTAAGTCTCACCAAGGGGGACAGTCACCGGGACGGTCATCCATCAAAGCCAATTTAGACCGGAGCATATCAATGTCCTGGTACGTTGAGTTCCCTAAGGCCGCTACTAGCAAGGGGAGATAAAGTACGGCCCCGAAAAGTAAGCTTCTCCGGGATAAAAGAGCCATGACGACAAAATATGCAAATGCAAAAGGGATACAATCGCAGAAATCAAAAGGATAAGAGCGCAGGAAGTGATGTTAAGGACAGCCGGCCCGACTGTGTGGAATCGTGACGTCGCCAGAGTCGTGGGTCTGTGCTCATTTTGCTGAGCTAAGAGTCCAAGACTAAACTTTCTGGCTACAAGTCGACGTGTTTTAAGGCCTAGCGGCCAGTACTACTACTTGCTACCCACTAAGCAAGTACAGGTCCCCCGACTAATGGCACTCCACCCCCGCATGTCGGATCAGCATCATTGGTTCAGAAGCACAAAAGCAATACCCCCGATTCGTTGAACTCAACCATCCTCAGGTGCCTTCTACTTAATAATGCTTGCTGGTAAGTAGTGCCACCGTGACGTGTATAGATAGCTAGTAGGTATTTATTAAGAGTATTCTTTACTTTGCCCATTAGGTGCCTACCCTCTAAGTAGGTACCTGGGATGTGCAGTAGCATCTAGGTATGTATTTTCTATCCCTTTGAGTGTGCGAAGTTGCAGCTTCGGATCGGGGTGTGGACGAATAGAAAGCCAATTACTAAAAGGTACATAGCCCCACCAAGATATAATACAACATATAATGGTACAAGTACCAGTAATCTTTAGCTTTACATAAAGCTACATCGCACGTATCGCAGCCGAATTCGGCGTACGGCGCTCTTTTGCGTCTTGTAGTGGCTGACCTTGGTTGCAGGAAAGGTTCCCAGTACTTACATAGGTATCGCAGAAAGATGGGTCCGCTACAAAAGTCGCAGCTTCGCACACTCAAAGGGATGCATGGATACCATGGTAGTCCATGCTTATACCATTTTTTTAGGTTTAAAGAGGTTGGCCGTAGTTAGAAGCCACGGTCTCTTTCCCGTGCCTCTTTACATCTTGTCAATTCCTTTCCAGAGGTTTCCCTAAAGTGAAACTCCAGTCTACATGAAATCCTCATCCATATTATACCAGACTTGATTAACGATAACGGAGTTGAACTATCTTCGCTTGACCTCTACTGCTTTACATTTTAGTTTGACATCGCTAAAAAAAATGGTTCCCTTCAAGCCATTTGAGGTAGAGCAATGGATGGATACATACGAGAACACGCCAGACGTTTTGAACGTCGCTGAAACGTGCTGCTCTTCGATTTCTATTGACGAGCTCTCCCGTTTCTCCGACGACAAGCTTAACCATTTGCGCATACCGACATCTCTCAAACTTACGTATGGCCCCATTCTAGGATCTCCAGCCTTGCGACAGAGAGTCGCCGCTCTGTGCAGCGACGCCAGTCGACATTGCTTGACCGAGGATAATGTCATAATAACACAAGGTGCCATAAACGCAAACTTCCTTGTTCTATATGGCCTGATCGGGCCTGGAGATCATGTTGTCTGCGCCTACCCAACCTATCAGCAGTTATATTCTGTCCCAGCTAGCCTTGGAGCTGATGTATCCTTGTGGGCTCTGCGGCCAGAGGCTGGCTATATCCCTAGTGTTGATGACCTGAGTACTCTCATTCGGGACAATACCAAGGTATGTGATAACGGTTCATTCCGGCGACTTGGATGTGAATCATGTTTAACAAAAGCTGTTGCTTAGATGATTATTATCAACAATCCAAACAACCCAACTGGTGCAGTAATTCCCAGCGGAATACTAGAGAAGATCGCCGCCTTGGCCCAAGAGAAGGGTATCATTCTCATGTCAGACGAGGTGTATCGTCCCCTATTTCACAACGGACATAACGACCCTAGTTCTCCGCCTCCAGCCACCGCCTTGGAGTATGAGAAAATTATAGTTACTGGGTCCATGTCGAAAGCATTCGCACTGGCGGGAATAAGGATAGGCTGGGTCGCTTCGAGAGACCGGGCTATCTTGGAAAAGCTGATCGCTGCTCGGGACTACACAACCATCAGCGTGTCTCAACTAGACGATCACGTTGCCTGTTATGCATTGTCATTGGAAGTCAAGGATCGATTATTGGAGCGCAATGTTGCTTTAGCAGCGAAAAATTTATCCCTCCTGAAAGAATTTGTTGACACTCATAGTGATATTTGTCATTGGACACAACCCTCTGCGGGGACCACAGCATTCATTCAGTTTTGTCTCAACGGTCAGCCCGTTGAAGACGTATCATTTTGCAAAGACCTCCTTCAGAAGACTCGAATTCTGTTCTGCCCAGGCTCGCTTTGCTTCGGTGGCGGCAAAGACTTCCTTGGGTTTGTACGAGTGGGGTATGTCTGTGAGACTGCAGTGCTGCAGGAAGCTTTGGCGAAGCTAGCTAAGTACGTTAGACAGCTGGTGCACTGAAAAGGGGATAGAAATTGGTTGATGATGGCAAAGGATCATAATGGTCATTGATGACAAGTGAGAGAGAAGGGAATCAAGTTGCCTCGACGAATTGTAACTATTTTAGGTATAGTTTTGGGTACGAATTTGTTGATCCGCATATCTTCAGGTTACTCTTGGTCTTATTGCTATTTTAGGCCCAACCCATGTTATCTAGCGTTACCTCAACGCATGGCCGCATCTAACTAAAACACTGGTGGGACAGATGTCATACGCATGCAAACTGGTCCCCTGACTCCCCTCGCTTCTCCTTCTGAATCGGCTCTGATAAATGACTGGTGCCTACTTAAGTAGGTAAGCGAACTATGTCCAGCGCCTCGGGCCGCAGCACTCATTGTTGCGCCGGCACTTCCCGTATTATATTCTAATAGTGTAGAGATTTCATTAAAAAAAGACAGTGATGTTCTGATATATATGTACTATCTGTGCGTTGGCTGTCTTAGCGTGTGATTACTACTAGGTAAGTACCTAGGAAGATTATGTCTGAAATTTGTGGCTTTGTGTACGGGTGTGAGTGGCTGAGCACCACAAGTCGACACTGCTATCAGCCTCTCGCCGACTATTTCCCGCTAGTCTGTGGATGACGACGCTCACGGCATCGAAGTTGCCGACATTATTTAGACTTTCATGGGCCGGTGTGGCCGGCACCCGCAGCATCGATGTCGCTATATATTTTTTTCGCCGTATTATAAATGTCTTTTGGAGAGCTTTGGTCGAACACTTTTGGGTCCTAGATGTTTTTTTTTCCGAGCTAGAACTTCCCCCGATCCTCCGTTTTCTTGCCTCGGCCAGAAGCCTGGAAGCGGCCGTGCAACTGAGCAGCAGCTTCAAATCTGCGACCTAGGCTACTTCAGCTAGACAGTCTCTGATACGTGTATTCTAGAAAACACGACCGGAACTTTCGGTATGAAATACTCAAGTGCCGTGGACGCTTGTGTGTCCTCAGTGATCATACTTGCGCCAGCTGTGTTTGGACAGGTGGTTCGATGGGATATACAGAAACACTACCAGGCCAGCGGGCTCCGGCGCCGGGCGGGAACCCTCCAGTCGGATGCATCCAATAATAAAGCTCAAGGAGGATACTTTGTGGCAGTTCAAATTGGAACACCTGGCCAAGAGCTTTCTCTGCAGCTTGACACTGGTAGCAGCGATGTCTGGGTACCGTCTAGTCAAGCCCCTGTCTGTCTGGATAAAGCTCAAGGCGGGTGCCCATTAGGCTCTTGTAAGTCATGTCATATACGAATTTGAATGAACAGAACCAATCACAGACTAATCGATTATCGCTGCAAGTTGATTTCGACCAATCTGGTACGTTCGACGTCATTGTCGCAAACGGATTCGATATATCCTATCAAGACAACAGCTCAGCAAGTGGCGACTACTTTGCAGACAAGCTAGAGATAGGCTCAAAATCGTTAAACAACTTCACTATGGGCCTGGGGAAGAAAACGGACGTACCGTTTGGCCTGATAGGAGTTGGCTACGCGGGAAACGAGGCATCGACGGAAACCGCAAACGCGATATACCCGAACCTGCCCATAGCTATGCAGGAGGCTGGTATCATAAATTCTGTTGCCTACAGCCTGTGGTTGAATGATCTGGGAGCTAGTACAGGAAATATTCTCTTTGGTGGTATCGACACCGAGAAATATGTAGGACACTTGACAAAGCTTCCCATACAACCCGAAAATCAGCAATTTACCCACTTCATTGTTTCCTTGTTCTCCCTTGAAGCCACCAGCCCTAGTGGAAATGACGTTTTGACATCAAGAGAGCTACCTTTGAAAGTGGTCCTCGATTCTGGCACAACTCTCAGCTATTTGCCTCCGGATATGGCAGCCCAAGTTTGGAGCGAAGTAGGAGCAACCTACGATGATATGTCTTTCCAGACAGCCATCATACCATGTTCTTACGCAAGTCACGCCGGTCATTTCTCTTTCGTTTTCTCTGGGCCTGATGGTCCACGCATCAATGTCACTATGGATGAGCTTGTCCTGCCATTGACAGATGGGGAGCCACCGACGTTCTCATCAGGCCCTCATAGTGGCCAAACCATCTGCGAGTTCGGTATTCAAAAATCATCGGACACACCATGGCTTCTAGGGGACACGTTTCTACGATCTGCCTATGTCGTCTATGACTTGATGAATAATGAAGTAGGCATTGCACCAACTGATTTCAATTCGACAAAGTCAAATGTCATAGCATTTGCGAGCAAGGGAGCGGCTATCCCTTCGGCCACTTCAGTAAATAATGGCAGTAAATCGGGAATACAGTCGCAACCAACCCAAACTGGTCTATCTGCTGCAAAAGGGTTTCAAGAAGGCAGTTTGGCCTGCTCACTTGAATCGCTGTCAGTTTTCTCGTTGACGTTTATCAGCATGACCATTACCGCCCTGTTGATGGGCAGCCCAATTTTTACGGATTGATTAGCTGTTTCTCTTTCTATTCTCGACATTCTTCCAATGTTGGCAATCACATGCTTTTCTGCTTTTCTGTCATGGTGTTCCAGGTACTTGTGAGGTTGAAACCTGGTGGATTGGGAGTTTAGGGGGGCGTTGCGTACCTGGGTTTGAGTACTGTAGGAGCCGGAGACACTAGTAGAATCATGTTCAAACAAACCAGACCTATGTATGAAATTGAGATTATTTCCTGACATGCGAATTATATAGATTGCGAAACTTTTGCTAACAGACTTGTCTGACTTGCGATTGCCCAATAGGAAGTGCTTCAGACCGTCCTAAGCCACTCAGGCACGTGAGATCCCGATAACTAGCAGTGGCGCATGCCATGGTCCCCTAAAAGATTCCTGTGCTAGGTAAATCTGCTGTGACTTCAACTAGCAACCTCTGACATGCATTGAGCGCAATTCACACCATGAAGACATCCGTGGTGGCTAGGCTACTCGGCTGCCGTCCTTTGCTCAAAATACAACGGCGGCCTGTCAATTCGCTTTGCGGGAAGCTCGATCCGCCGACAGTGAGCTACCCGATTAAAAGAGCCCTCAGCCAAACATCTTTGCGCTCAGCCAACGCGGCCCAAGAAGCGTAAGACAAACAAACCAAACTAAATCTATATACTTTTTCTGGAAGCACTGGGATTTAGATCAATTTACTAAGATTTTTCTTTGCCTACGGAGCAGGTTGAAGAAAGCCCAAGAAGATGCCGCAAGCTTGACAGTTGAGTATGTTGAAGCCAATATGGCACCCGAAGAGGTGCAGAGGCTCTCCAAAGTCAGAAATATAGGCATTGCGGTAAGAACTAATCGGAATTCACTACGAACAGACGATGGCTGACGCTTTGTTTCAATAGGCGCACATTGATAGTGGCAAGACAACGGTGACCGAACGGGTTCTTTTCTATACTGGTCGAATCAAGGCTATCCACGAGGTCAGGGGCAAAGACGCTGTTGGAGCGAAGATGGATTCTATGGAACTCGAAAGAGAAAAAGGGATCACTATTCAATCCGCTGCTACATTCTGTGACTGGAAAAAAAAGGAAAATGGCAAGGAAGAGACGTATCATTTCAACTTGATCGACACGCCTGGCCATATTGATTTTACGATTGAAGTTGAAAGAGCCCTTCGTGTCCTCGATGGTGCCGTCATGATTCTTTGTGCCGTCAGTGGCGTCCAGTCGCAGACCACAACCGTGGATCGTCAAATGAAGCGATACAATGTTCCTCGGATTTCGTTTATCAACAAAATGGATCGCATGGGTGCCAACCCATGGAAAGCCGTGGAGCAAATTAATTCTAAACTAAAAATGCCAGCCGCCGCAATCCAGATTCCAATTGGAGCTGAAGATGAGTTTGAAGGTGTTGTCGACTTGATCGAGATGAAGGCGATATATTTCGAAGGTCCCCGAGGAACCAAAGTCAGGTCTGACATCATCCCTACCACTTTGCGAGAACTCGCAGCAGAAAAACGCCAAGTACTCATTGAGAAATTGGCCGATGTTGATGACGAGATTGCGGAAATTTTTCTCGAGGAACAGGAGCCCAGCAATGAGCAGATCAAAGCAGCTATCCGACGGGCTACGATTGCACGCAACTTCTCACCCGTCTTGATGGGCTCCGCTCTGGCGGACAAGGGTGTACAGCCAATGCTTGATGCTGTTTGTGACTATCTACCAAATCCATCACAGATTGAGAATACCGCTCTCGATAAGTCGAAAGACGAACAAGTCGTCAAATTAGTTCCGTATAATTCGTTACCTTTCGTTGGGCTTGCGTTCAAGCTTGAAGAGAACAACTATGGACAGCTCACTTACATCCGGGTTTACCAAGGAACGCTCACCAAGGGAACGTATCTGTTTAACTCTCGAACGGACAAGAAAGTCCGAGTCCCCCGCATCGTCAGAATGCACTCCAACGAAATGGAAGATGTGTCTGAAGTTGGTGCAGGGGAAATCTGTGCGGTATTCGGGGTTGACTGCGCATCAGGAGACACGTTCACGGATGGAGGTCTGCCTTATACTATGTCGTCAATGTTTGTCCCTGATGCCGTCATGTCTCTATCCATCAAGCCAAAGCGAACCGCCGACGCAGACAATTTTAGTAAGGCTATGAATCGGTTTCAGCGTGAAGACCCGACGTTCCGAGTGCACGTGGACCCTGAAAGCGAAGAAACCATTATCTCTGGCATGGGCGAACTGCACCTTGAGGTCTACGTTGAGCGGTTAAAGCGTGAGTATAAGACAGAGTGTATCACTGGACAGCCACGTGTTGCCTATCGAGAGACAATTTCTCGTCGTGCGGAGTTCGATTACTTACTTCGCCGACAGAGTGGCGGTCCCGGTGACTTTGCCCGTGTGGCTGGATGGATTGAGCCAAATGAGACACCGGAGGATAACCATTATGAAAGCCAAGTTGTAGGCGGCCATATCCCAGATAAATTTCTAACAGCCTGCGCTAAGGGCTTCGACCTGACCTGTGAAAAAGGTCCTCTTCTTGGACACAGAGTTATCGGAACCAAAATGGTCATCAACGATGGTGCCACCCATGTCACGGATTCCTCTGATTATGCATTTAGTCTGGCGACACAGATGGCCTTTCGAAAGGCATTCACCGATGCGGGCGGCCAGGTTTTGGAGCCGTTAATGAAGACAACCATCACAGCACCCAACGAGTTTCAGGGCAACATTCTGATGCTCATGAATAAGAGAAATGCGACTATTCATGACACTGAAATTGGAAATGAGGATTTCACATTAATTTGTGACTGCAGTCTCAATGCCATGTTTGGTTTTAGTTCTCAATTAAGAGCTGCGACGCAGGGAAAAGGAGAGTTCAGCATGGAGTTCAGCCATTATGCCCCTGCCCCGCCTCATTTGCAGTGAGTTAATCGAATTGATTGCTAAAGTTGAGGGCAGTAAGAATCGTATGCTAACTGATCGCTTAGGAAAGAGCTAATCGCTAAATACGAGATTGAGCTCGAAGCGAAGAGAACGAAATAGATCGAAAAATATGTGCCTGGTCTGGAACTCTTACTAGACTGCGGTGTGATACCACTCTCATGTAAAACAATATGTAGACTAGAGCTGTTTCCGATAAGTTGACGTTTCATGGATCATTTGCCGCACAGGAAATGTTGCGATATGAGTTTGGAAGGGTGGTAGACAAGAAAGTATTGCATGAAAATAGAAGACGGACTACCCAATGTATTTACGGCAAGACCAAGTGAATATCTAGACAATTTTACAAAACTTCCGTTGCGCCTATATATAACGAAATAGAAGAATGTTTGTAATATGTTCTATAGCTTCTTGAGAATATCCTCAACCACTTGCTCCGTAGTTGCCGAGCCTCCTAAATCTGGGCTAAGAAGTTCACCCTCCTCCAAATTAGCATCAACGGCCGCATAAATCTTTGCAGCAGCAGCGGGTTCGTCTAGAAACTCAAGCATCAGTGCGGCACTTCTCAATGTAGCAATGGGGTTTGCGACACCCTTGCCCATGATATCTGGCGCGCTGCCATGACAGGGCTCTCCGATGGCAAAACCCTCGCCAACGTTAGCGCTTGGGACAAGGCCCAAGCTACCGACTAACGCAGCAGCTCCGTCAGATAAAATGTCCCCGTAGAGGTTAGGAGCGACAATGACATCGTAATCCTCTGGCTGGCGGAAGAGCTTGTACACCATAGAATCAACAATTTGCTCTTCTACCTTGACAGTAGCAAATTTCGGATCGGCGAGCGCCCGCTTAGAGGCTTCGCGGAATAAGCCGTCGGTCTGGGAGAGTACATTCGATTTGTGAGTGATGGTCACAAGAGGCTTTTTGTGAATACTGGCGGCTCCCGACTGCCTGATTCTATCGCGCCGAACAGCAATCTCACCAGCCATAGCGGCAATTCGAAGCGAAGCCTTCTCTGAAATGCGCTTAATCGCTTCTGCGACCTTGCCGTCAGGGCCATCAAAAGTCTTCTCCTGCTTGACATACAGATCTTCCGTGTTTTCGCGGACAATGACCATGTCAATAGGCTTGGGGGCAGTCATCACAGTCTTAACAGGACGAACATTGGCATACAGGTCGAGACGTTTGCGGAGGGCGACTATAGGTGACGAGTAGCCTTTGACAGCATGAGTTGGCGAGCTGACTGCACCAAAGAGTGCACCATCACACTCATTTCGAAGGACATCGACAGTGGCTTCTGGTAGGGCCGTTCCGGTCTGCTCGAAGGCTTCGAAGCCGGCTTTGAGGTTGACAAATTCGAAGTTGAGGTTGAGGTAGCTGGGCAGGGCCTCCAGGACCCGACGACCCGCTGGAATGACTTCTTTGCCAATCCCGTCACCAGGGATGAGGCCTGCATTGTTCGGTTGGAGGTTAGGGGGGGCGCTGTGGAAATGGATGGGTCGGTAAAACCATACCTATTCGTAGTGTACGGACAGACATCTTGTTACTTGCCGCGGCAAAATGTGCTGTTGACAAGTAAATAATTGCGATTATGACGGAGCGAATGCGGTGTTTGGAGAGTGGAAATTTTGTGGTGACCCTGGAAGCCGAGATCGGAGATGAGATATGGGCGTGAGTGATGTTTCTTCTCCCTACAGCATTGGTCTGCCCTAACCAGGCTGTCCTACTTGTAGGTACTACTTAGTACATACCAGGTCCAGGGGTAGGTACATCCATATCATTTCACCTCAGTATCGGGAACATTTACTCCCGCCTCACAGCACATGACGCAGGAGGCATCGGGTGGTCGTTCATGCCACCACGCCTGTCTTTGCTCTTAATGTTTTTACAAGACCCATGATTGGAGTTGATCCATTAGCAAGCTGCAAGATAGAGCCGGCAGACTGCCTCGTGGTCAAAAATGGTTGGGACTGAAGCGGGAAAGAGCCCTTAGAACTAAAACCTGAAAGATTTCCATCAATCAACTCGTAGCGCAATGTTTCAAACTGTTTTCTCCAAAGAATAAAGAAAAAAAAACACTGCGTAGCCAAATTCGTTTCGACTTTGGCTTTTTTTAAGGAATCTCCTAAAATTCAGAGTTACCGTCTTGGCAGTTACTCGGGGCAAAGAACCCCTAACAGTATGATCCCATAAGCATTCAAGTCTTTTGTATTTCGATTTGAAGATCCTAGATCGTCGGCAACTACCTAGATGGGTTAGCAAGGCATGGTTTGCGCCGGGGGAAAAGGCTTGCTGAAGGTCGTGAATAACCTAATTGACGCTTCAAAGACGAACACCAGCTTGACCTACTCCGTACTAGGTGCCTCAGGTAGGTTGAGCCTGCTGTATGCTAGCAGACTTAGTGTCTGGTATGTACGGAGTACAGCTGCTCCTTCAATGTTGCTCCACACCAGACAGCATAACAACAGACCCAGGGGTAACCTGATTGCCAGCCCCTTGTTTCGTATCAGTACCATGATGACTTTAGAGAGTACTACCAAGCTCAAGTACCGTCTAGTAGTTACAGGCCTTATGGGGTCATTGCCATGCTTTGCAATTTGCTTTTGTCTCGCGTTCAAAGCCTTGTCGCGATCGTTTTTGGCCATCTGTCATTCTCTCTGCACCAGTCAAATATTGAACCATTGTTTTCTCTACCGAGTTCCAAGCCAGAGCAAAGATGAGCCAGGTCAAGAACCTGCGAGCCATGTTTGAAAACAAAGGCGATACAAGCCCGCCTGACAGAGGGAGATCTCCAGGCATCACGCCCAGTAGGCATATCGGAAGTAAGTCCCGGGGAAGGGGGGGTTTGGTTTATCGAAGTTGTTCTTCAGCCTCAGCCTGATCGACTGTGCTGTACCTGTTACTTTCACGGTCATATGCTCGCCTAAGCAGAAGTCCCTGTTTGCCATGCCAAAGCCAGGCTTGAGGTTGTTAGAGGAACGCTTGCCCTTTTAGCAATGTCACCAAGTTATTGAGGGGCTTATTATGGATTTAAGCTGATTTATGCTTTCGTGATGCAGACGCCAGCTCCAATGGCTCGCCGCGGCCGCTCTCCAAGGTTCGCACAAACTTTGTTGCAATTGAAAAGGACGGCCGCATGGGTTTAAGAAGAGATCACAGCGGCGAATCGAGCTTGTCGAGAAGACGAATGAGTACCGAAACTGCAGACACCGAATTCAACAGCAACTATCTTGAGAATCCCAATACAGTACCATCAGACGACGTGAGTAAAGCTTCACGTCGCAACATCGCCAGCGAGACTATCCCCGAATCTCCGAGAACAATGTCCCACGAACAGGCTGGGGTTTCTGTAGACGCAGGCTCACAACTGGACAAAGCGCACATGGAAGTCAAAATGAAGTTGGGTTCGCCTCCACACCTCCAGAGCGAAGAAAGAGGAACAGGCTCCGCGGGAAACGCAGGATTAAATTCTGTCTCGGCTACGAATCGCTCCCACGGCATCAAGCACAATGGACATCTCTCTGTTCAAGCCAAAATGATGACGACAGGGCCGACGAAAGGTTTCAGTGCAACTTCTGCTGCAAGACCCGAATCAAGGGCGAATAATAGAGGCCTCAAAATCAGCACGTTATCTGCTGATAAGACCCAGAAAGCCAATACCGGGGCAACTTCATCCACCAAAGCGAGAACGGTTCCATCAGGGGTTGTAGCCAAAAGCCAACCTGTCAAGACAAAGAGCCAGAATGATGCGGGTTTTATCAAGCCGAAGCCAAAATCACCCACCAAGCAAGTTCAAATGCCATCATCACTCACCGCACCGACAGCTTCTTCGGTATCGAAAGTTCACGTACCTCGTCGGCCTCTTTCCCGCCAATCCGGAACTCAAAATAACCCAGCACAACCCAGTATTCGACCAAATATGTCAAATTCTACGGCTTCACACTCTTTCATCAAGGGGCAAGTCTCCTCTTCGTCTAGGTCCCGACCGAGTCTCGGGCCTCCTCCAAACAAACAGTCGCAAGTTACGGCCAGTAACAAAAAGCAGAGCAATGTCGATGAAGGATTCTTAGCACGTATGATGCGCCCTACACAGTCATCGTCTTCCAAAGCCACTGATAAAGCTCCGGTCACTCCACCAAAAAGAACGGCCCAGAGACCGGTGAGTGGTGAGAATGGGAATCAGGCACTCCTAAGGTCGGCGAGCAGTAGGGGCCTTCATGGTAAAAGGATCCCAGTGCCTGCATCATTGCAGTCAACCTCCGCGCCACTAGCTGGTCCTACTGATGAACCTGACCCCCCCGAATCTGAGGAAGAATGCAACGAACTTCATATTGACACCAATAATCGATCGGAAATAGCAAATGCAGACAAAGAGGCCAGGTCTCCTCCAAATCCTGCCACCAAGTACACAATCGAGGAGAAGGGCGCGTCAGCTGTTCCAGAAGGACCGAAAAGATTTGAAGCCCTGATCACTGGTTCGACTTGCAACACGAGGAATGATCTTGTCCACAACAGTCAGTTACGAGAGGAAGCTGACGATTCCAAGGCTTCCGTTGCCGCAGGGCCCACACCACTGGTTGAGCTGATGGAAGCTTCTAGTTCTGTTGGCAGCGACGAGATAGCTAGCAAGGATAAACGGCCTGGTGCAATTGAGGAGGTTGATGATGCGGCTCCAGAAGCCACGAGTAAGCAGCAAAACTGCAAGGCTGACCAAGTGTCAGAGACGAAAGAAATACCTCAAGGTCCAGCTGGGGATAGTCTGGCCAACGAGGAGCCTGTGACTGCTGAGGGTCATGAGAGTAGTGATCCAGTCGAGATGGATCTCGCTGCGCAACATACCCCTGAAACTTGTACTTCGCCGTTTGATGTCAACCAGCCATATGAACAGAGCATTCAACAAGTGATTCAAAGTACTCGAAACCACCTTGTACCAGAAATAAACAGCCCTTCACCTTTGGAGATCATACAGACCGATCTTGGCGGCGATAAACCCGACGGTATCCCTAAAATGGAAGCTGTTTCGGATGAACAGAAGCAACCTACGGTTCAAGGCCATGAGGGCACGGCAGAGGTGGCTCTGGAAACAGAACATGCTTGAACCTCTCCGAGCAGCAATCCTGAAAGCACGGATGTGCAGGTGCACGGTCACGTAGCGGGTGCATGGGCAAGTTGATTGATACGTGGTCGTCGACCCTGTCCATTGTCAATTCTTGGTTTTTCTTCCCTTATTCATTGCTTGGGCGGCGCAATTTAGTTGGGATTGTTTAGATTTAGCAGAACAGATACCTTGCATAGCTGCACAATTAAGCATTTTATTTGAAAGTGGCAGCCAAGAGTGGTCCGATGTGACATGTACGTGCTGTAATTGCATCCAACTACCAAGGGGCGACCATTTTTGGTTCTAATTATATGAGAGAGATCTGCGAAACGAGCGAGGAAGCTGCCAATATGCTCAACAAAAAATGCATGTCCAGTCTCGTCTAACACCGTCATGATATCCTACAGATCAGCAAACCGCCTACCTTCCTTGCCAATGCTTCCCTCGCTTCCAGGACTCCCCTTGATGTGGCCACGAACATGCACTCCCCTAAATTTAGACCCGGAACTACACCACCCTTCAATTTCGCTGGAAATCCTCTTGTCAATCTTCCCAACTCCTTAATATCGGCAGTCATCAACCTGGAGGGCTTGCTGATCATAGTTGCTTTCGACAACACCGGTTTCCCATCCCAGTACTTGAGGCCCAGCCATATCCTCATCTTGGCTACGTTGGCAGTTGTGACCCTCTCTGGTGGTTGTGAAATCATTTGCTCTGCAGTAGGGGGCTGGGGACCGGATCGGTAAACGGACGAGAAGAAGCCTGAGCGGTGAAGAGCGAGCGCGAGGTGTAGGTTGTATTTGTTGTTGGAGATGGACGTGAGGCCTAGGCGGGCTTTGGATGCATTTTGGAGGTGGGAGCACATGTGCGCTATATTGAGAACGGAGGGCATGTTGATGCTGATTTAACGACTCGATGGTTCGAAATGTAAGGGACTGACTGCCGACTGGACAGAAATCAAGCCTCGCAGATTCTGGGACAAGTCCGACTTCAATGGTTGCTAGGCCCTTTAAAAATTAATGTTAGCATGACGACCAAAGTACAATATGAGAGGGACACAAACAGATTCGGGAATGGGCCTTGGTCGCTAACGACTGATTTAGCGGTAGGAATTAATGGCGTTGGCATAAGCTAACATGCAACCGTGCTTGGAAATCAAGGGCTCGCATAATCATTCAAAGGATCACTGTGTTATCGTCAGGTCGAATCCTGGGGTAAAAAATTAAGGGATGACTAAGCCACACATTTTGTAGGAGCATGCCCCTGGAGCACCGGACTTTCTTTAACCAGACTCTACAATAGAGAAGGGAAAGTGCTAGCAGCAATTTTTCCGCCATAGATGCACTAACTTGTCCATGCTCCGAACGTTGATACTCTATCGACCAATTGATCTGCATACCTGTTCAATTGCCCATGTACCGACCTGGGTATCGATATGGTATTTTACCCTTCATCTACATAGATTTTTCCATCGCTACGCTGCCGAATAAACCGGGTACATTTAAGTACCTAGGTACTAGGTACCTACCTACTTAAGTATATCTAGTAGTACTACCTAGGTAGATACTTTAGTATCTGCCCTATTGTGTATTTCGGCAGATCGACGACGAACGAAGCTAGCCACTGTGATTCTTTTAGCAAGTCAGTAGGTATGCTGGGCTAAACATACTTTCTGACCTCGATCTGCTCAGCAACGAGGTTCTTACTATCCTGTCTGCGACTTTCAATTCATTGTCCGTGATTATATTTCACGCTCAAAGGAGTGAATATGTATTAGGTTTCCAGCGCCAATGCTTTGCCGAAAAGCGTCTGCGTATTGCTCTGACAGGTGGCATGACCCGATACGCAAGGGGAATTCAAGTAATGAACAGATAACATATGAACGATCATAAAAGGAGTTAGAGGATATACCATGATGGGAAAGGAAAGAAAGGGCGGCTTTGAAGGCCTTTACACGCTGCGCATCACATTATGGGGATGTAAACTCGCTGCGTAGATATAAGTATTTATGATACCGGAAAATTTTTATTATGTTGTTCATGGGTTTAAATCTAGTTCAAACCTAAGATCCCGGCTGCCGTGGAAAACAGAGGCTTCCTATATCGATATCCAAAAATCAAGAATGCAGCGGCGACAGGACCTGTGATGCACGCAGCAAATACCCGCATAAGTATTCGACCCTGGTGGTCGCTCTGCCTCACAATATCGCTGTAACCTTGGTTACTGAAGCTGACTCTAGAGTATTTCGTTTGCCAACCAAAGTTTGGAAAGTTAACACTCATAAACTCCTCCAAGAATTTCCGCAGTCTATAACGCATGGATAGCACCGAAGACCTCATTTCAACATAGTTTTGCAAGGCCAGTTCGTTGATAGCATATGCGTCTGGTGCACGAATACCCGAATACTCCGCCAATGCCTCAGCCCTCGAAGACATAGACATGGGAGATGATTTGTGACCCTCGGCAAGGGAAGTGTTGTTCTCAAGCATCTCGTTATGCTTGTCGAATATGGAGAAAAGGATACGAACATCTTCCATTCCCGCGTTCATGCCTTGTCCGTAAAAAGGCACCATTGCGTGGGCGGCGTCTCCAACGATGACCCCAGAGGAGCTGTAGTGATACGGACGACATTTAAGGCTGATTAGTGGTAGATGGGGGTTTGACTGAAACGATGATATGAGGCTTTCTCTGGGAATGAGGTCGGTTACTCCTGGAAAATTTTGGTCAAAGAAAGACGGAAGTTGAGCTGGGTTGTTTTCCAATTCAGCAAACTGCTTGCTAGGAAGGAAGAGGGTGCTTGTAAACGATCCATCCTGTGGTGCTCAACTTAGCATGCACATGTCGAATCAAGGGTGGGAGCGTAAACACCCTTACCTCACTTGGGATAGCAATAAACATGAAGTCCCGACCCGGCCAAATATGTAAATGGTTTTGTGAGATCTGAAATTTTGCCCCATTCTGCCCGTGTGATAGCGCTTCCTGCGGCTCGATGCGGAACTCGCACCAAAGGGTATCGATGTATTCCTGTTGATAATCCATTCTCGTAAACTTCATCATGTGGTACCTCACTGCGGAATGGGCTCCGTCGGCACCAATCATGAGATCGAACGAAATCTCAATTTCCCTTGGGCGACCATTAGGGGATACATCTACGTCGCGGGCTTCGAACCAAGCTCGCCGCGCGCGAAAATCAGCTCCAGTCAGCTTGTGGTTGAAAAACAATTTGACGTTCGGCATGGAGTCTAGGACGTTAAGAAGTTTCTCGTTTAGTCCGGATCTATCAATGGCATATATGGCCTTTATCTAGTGTCAGTATACGAGACGGTCAACGAATCAGAGGCCAGGAGCTGAGTCTTTCACATACACGCCCTTTTGCATCGTAGTCTTGAGCATGTTCATAGAGATCGCCCAATGGACTCTTGCCGTGGATCATGCGACCTCGCATTGGAATAGTGCCGGTCATTACTGTTTTTAGTAGACTGGGATGGCCGGCACTCCGCATTGCGTTGATGCCACGTTCTGATATCGCCAAGTTGATTGACTTTGTGAAGTTCAAGGGAATTGTTCCGGGATTGCGCAAATCTTCATTTTTGTTAGATTCTAAAGTACTTCACAAACACTAGTGAAGAAGTTGGGTAGTTGCCACCTCGTCGAGGGCGGAAATGGGTGGGATAGAAGCGGCGGAGAAGAGAGCAGCAGCAGGAATCGCAGCAAGAAGGGAAAGAGGAAGGAGCAGACAAAGTTAAGATGGAAGTGAGAGTACTCTGTCCATCATTCTTCTCTGGACAACTTGAAAGACCGGGACTGGAGGGCAGGCTTGCAGGGACCGATTAACGCTAGACGCAAAATGAGAGAGAGAACAAGAAACATGAAAGCGTGACATATGACTCAGAAGAAACACGGACATAGTTTTATATGTTCAGATCCGAAGAAGTCTTACCTGGGCGTAGTTCATAGACCTCAACTTCATGACCACGCTGAGCGGCAAATAAAGCAGCCAGAGAGCCGACAGGCCCAGCCCCAACGACGACTGTCTTCTGTGTAACAGACATGATTAAGGGATTGGTTTCCCGGTGAGGAATTGTCAATGATTGAAGACAATACAGCTATCCGGGCTGAAGCAGTGCTATGAGACGTTCATCCAAAGAGCTTCGAAAGACAACTTGTCGCCGACAACCGGATGGCTTGATTCATTTTTAGCGCCTGGCCGACTGCCTGCCCTGCCTTTCCGGCTAGGACCCACTATTCCACTTTCCAGTCCTCGGGCTCGCACTCAAGTCGCCTGTACCAGCATCTCCGGTGACAATTTGCAATGGGCAATAGGTACCTTGGTAGCCGGGTAGATTCCTAGCGTTGAAGAGCTTTGAAAAGGCGGGACAAAGACTGTTAATATAATTCCAAGCGTCCGGGACGTAGTCATCCTAAACACAGCGCGCTTGCCCTGTTGTATCAAATTTTGTCTGGTTGCTGCCAGAAAACTTGCTGTCACTAAAAAATGGCGTGGCTAGAGGCTATTGACTTTTCTGTGCAGTTGCTTACAGGCCCTCTTCAACCTAGTTGTGACCTTTACATCAACACTAATGTTTGCTCACGGGCAAAATGGCAAAATGGTGTTTGGCTTTGCTCAAGGCTTCCACAGAGCCATTGAGCTTGATATTCGTCTCGGCACTAGGAAAAGGTGATGTTGAGCTCCCGCTCCCGTTCCCGTTTCTGCTTCCGCCATTTTCCTGACCCAATGTTACATAATCTCAATCAGTGATAATCGTCAATCGATCTTGGGCCAGGCGGGGCGCTCGCTCGCTAACTGGGGGTGGTTGCCTCCAGAGGCCGAAATAATTTTTTTGTCTTTATCACGCACTGTACATAGTCTTCATCCAGCCCCACTCCGTGCCTCCAGACAGAAATAGAGTCACGCTGCTCTACTACGTTTGCATTTGATCACAACATCGCCTCTCACAGGCACTCACTCGTTACCAAATTGTCAATCGACTCATTTGAAC